CTGGAAAACCATCACTAGCAGGTCACAACACTCCAGCAACATTTTATTTAAATGCCTTAAAAATCCAAAAGGAAAAATGTGGAGAAAGAAAAGGGTGAACCCAGGGAGTCTTCCTCTGAAAACCGAGCAGGGAGGTGTCACAGATCACACGTCTCCCTGCTCCGCGATGCGTGGGATGATCCACTGAGGCCATAAAGGAAGTTAGAGGACCTAAGAGAGAGTCACTGTAGGTGTGGACACCCAGAAGTGGGATGGTGCAGACACGAAGCTGTGTGCGGACACGGAGCTCTGAGGGAGCAGAGTTCACAGCTGCCTTCAGTCCAGAGTCATCAGTGATGATCTTCTCGAGAATCGGGGAGTCATCAGGAACCCTTGTCACGTGGCTGGCAGACACCATTAAACATCATTACCAAGGGGAGGCAGCTATCCGATCACAGCTTTCTGCTTCAGGGCTCACGTGGCTTCGTTTGGGTTTGCGAGGGCAGAGGCTTTGCAGCTGAGTACAGCATGCTCGGTCAAACCACAAGAGGGGCATTCGGGCTTCATTCAAAGAAAATCACCACAGGGCAAGTAAACAGAAATGATTCCAGTAAATAGTCCCCGATTAGCACATTCTCCCAGTTCAAGACACTGGAGCTCAGTGTGGACTCGGCGAGCTGGGGCAGAAGTGTGCAGGAGGAAGAAGGCATGTTAGGGTGAGGAGGGGACGCCCTCACTGTGAAGTCTCTAATAGCCCCTTTCCAGCGTTTCCCATCACCTGAGCTGAAATGGATGGTATCAGGGTGTGAACTCCAAGGCAGAATTTTGCCATGTTAGCCACTGCACAGAGCTAGCTCAGAGCTGTGCAGTAGTTTCCAACTATGATGAGTCAGTGTCTCTAGAGCAGAGGCTCTGGACTCGGAGACTTGTGGATGAAGAAAAAAGTCTTAATGGGTGGGGCATGGGGAGAGGGCATATGCTCAAAGTACATAACATACGTGTATAAAAATAGTTTAATGCGGGGAGCTGAAGAGATGGCTCAGCGGTTAGAAGCATTGGCTGCTCTTCCAGAGAACTTGTGTTCAATTCCCAGCAACCACATGCCAGTTCACAACTGTAATTCCAGTTCCAGGAGATGCTTTCACACCGAGTCACATAAAATTAAGTTACATAAATTTTTTAAAAAGAAAAATCTTAATGTGAACTGGTGTGGGAGAACTTCTGTATTCTGTCAATCACATTTTAATAAAACACTGATTGGCCAGGCAGGCAGTATAGGCGGGAAAGCCAGACAGGAAGTAGGGGTGGAACAAAGAGACTGGGAGTTTTCTGGGACACAGGAAGCTCTCTCTCCACTCCTGCACAGACCACCGAAGAGGCAGCATGTAACTTGCCCAGCTGAGAAAGGTACAGAGGCATGTGCTAACATAGATAAGGATAATGGGGTAACATAAGTTATAAGAGTTAATAAGTAGCCTGACCTAATGGACCAATCAGCTTTATAACTTATAGAGATCTGTGTGGTTAATTTTCTCTGGGACTTGCCGACTGTGGGGTACTGTGCAGGACAGATACCCCAACAAGCCAGCCCTCACTACAGTGAACGATTATAATAAAATTAATTTAAAAAATTTTGATGAAAACAGGAAGTAATATGTATATATATTTGTTTTTCAGCCCTCACCAAGTAAAAAAGGTAAAGAGGGAAGGAGAGGCAGGAGGAGAAGGAAGGTGAGAGAGAATCACTAACTGTCATTACCATGGTTTTGAGAAAAGAATGAACCCATTTAATACCCAAGCAAAACATAATCCCTCAAAACAAGAGATGAATTCACATCTGTGGGCAAAGTCACTTGTTTTTGTTTTCTCCAAGGGTCTCCATTAATGAACCACTGCCTGGCATGGCTAAGAACAGGGGCTTTGTGGAAACACAGGTTTTAATGCCAGCTCCGACACCTGCTCTCCGTGACAGGTCCCTTCAGGTCCTAAAGACTTCGGGCGTGTGCTGGGATTTCTTGTAGAGTAAGCAGGAGACACAAACAAACCAGGCGCGTGAGGTTTAGTAAGCGTGAGCCGTTTCATTACGGGACCATCTGTCGACTCTCCTTTACCTCTGGGTCCAAGGGTGTCTGTGGGGGTGGGGCCGATGATATTGAGGACAGAGGGTCGATCATTTCAACATTCCCACCCCCAACAGAAAGGATACCCCTCCTTTCAATCCTAGACCTCTGCCTGGTCTATGTAGGATCTGGCCTTCTTCCTGTTAAGGAAGTCTCTCATATGAGCCTGGTATATCTAGCTAAAGATAGAAGAGTCAGGTTAAGTGGGAGAGGGCCTCAGGGTCCTGTTCTCTAGGGATAGTGCTAGAAACTCCAGAGAACTGCCAGGAATCCTGCCATTTTGATTTAAAGTGGAATTGATTTGTTTGTTGGCCACAGAGACAGATGGAGTAAATGTTGCCAGAAAACCCGAGGATCCGGCCACAACGGGCTCCTATGTGCTACAGACCTCTTTAGTTCAAGATTTATGTCGGACTGCAATGTGTGGCTGTAAACTCTAAAGACGGTTCGGCTCCATCACACTGCTGTCTTCCTCCCTCCTGCAGGCAGATGATGAACGGCTCTTCAGGAGAGCCCGAGACTCTGGGCTTGAGACTCAGATGCTCGGCTAGAGACGGAATGATTTAATCTCCTCTCTGAGACCTTCAGAAGCCCCACTCCAAATGTCAGTTTACTCAGGATTATATTTGAACTCTGGGTCCACCTCATTCGAAAGGAAAGTGGAGGCCTAAGAGCACGGGGTCTTCTCTGGGGCCCTCTAAGAAGCTGCCTGACCTGTCTGTCTGTGAACTTAGACCCTAGTGGTTTTACTGTTCATATATATCTATGCCTCTGTTTTCCTCTGGGGGTTATGATTAATTCTACTGTTTTGCTCTGACAAAGCTTTGGTAAAGATCAAAGAAATCTATAAATTTGAAAAGTTCACAGCTCTTGTGCAATGTGGTATACACTTAATTACAGTGATTTTAGTGGCATTTCAGGTTTTGAGTTTTTGCGTTTTTTTGTTTGTTTATTTGTTTGTTTGTTTTTACACAAGGTCTCATTATGTATCTGGCTGGAACTCACTATGTAACCCAGGCTAGCATCACACTCACAGAGATCCACCTGCCTCTGCCTCCTGAGTGCTGGGATTGAAGATGTGCACCCGCACAGCCAGCAGTTTATCCCTTCTTTAAAGGTCTAAAGTTTAAATAAAAACACTAAATGAAATGAAATCTTTGAGGGTCCCTAAGAGCTTGACTTTCAGCCTTAGCATCCCCAGAAACCTTACTGGACCCCTGAACCCTCAGAAAATCAGGCAATCCAGACTCCAGACTCCTCCTAAAACCAGTTCTAGCCTGTGGGACCTCCCAGCCCTTTGGCCTAGGGAGGCAGATCCTCTTGTGGCCTCTTTGTTCCCACCGCTGTCTCCTGAGGGACATCTTTCTACTCCTAGTCTGTTGCTGCTGACTGACACCTGAAGGTGTCACCCAACTCAAGCAGGATTTCCCAGCAATTTTTATTCTACACAGAAGGTAGATGTCTCCTCAAGGAGAACAGAGGCACCAGCTATTACGGTAATACCACCCAGGTATAATATTATATCACCAAGCGTGGCGCGAGTTAGCGGGTGGATCTCAAAATGTGCCCTATTCATACGCCGCTGGCAACAGCCACAACAGTTTCACCCGACATCTCGTTAGAGAAACAAGTGCCGAGGCCACTGTGTGGAGTCAATACTCGGGAGGGCAAATCCAGCAACCTGTGTTTCAACCCAAGTCTCCGGGAGATCCAGGTGCAGCCGAAGGAGGAGAGTCGCTGAACCTTCGAGGCGCAGGTAGTGTTCTTACCTGGCTACCACATCCACTCCTGCTGGAGAACAAAAGCCGTGTGAGGGGAAGGAGAAAGCAACGTGAAGCACATGTTCTGCCCCTGTGGTTTGAAGCAAGCGACCAGAAAATCCGTGAACCTGAAGTTTTAGAGCAAGTCCATGTACACAGGTTTAGCCTGCATTGCTGACAGTGTTGAAGAGGAAGTAGACACTGCAACCTAAGCAGCATGCAGACAGATGTGGTGAGCTGGCCCGGGGCCCAGTTCTCAGGCCTCCAGGTGCTGTAGGGGGTTCCCAGCCCCACACCCACTCCAAGGTGATTAATGGGTAGATTTCATGATTTAGTCCTGCCGTCCACAGGGCTCATGGGGAGAGCTCCGTGTGGGCTGGAGAAGTTGAGGACTTGTGCTGGGCCCCTTTACAAAACAAGAAGGAACTGAACCAGCAGAGATTTATGGATTTTTTTTCTTTCTATTTTGGTAACATTCCACACCATGAGGGAGAAGGCGGATATCACGTTCTTTAGATAACAGAGATAGATTATATTTGCCTGAAGATGGAAGCCAGATCTCACCAGCCAAGTTAAGTGTAGAGCGACATCCCGCATCTCGTGTGAAATTGGTACTGAGATCTTGCGTGCCTCCGTGGGTGGCCCTGGCGGGTATCTGATCCTTTCTCGCCCAGATAGGTTTGTCCTAATGAGAAGAAGAGTGTATGTCACTTTGCTCTGCCCTTGGCTTTCTCGTTGCTATTTCTTGTGCTTGCCCGAAGCTCTTCGATCTACCCTTCGTACTCATTGGTCCTAGCAGCCACCGTTGCTGTACATCCTGGCTGTTTACGTGCACCAGAGGTTCCCCCACCCACACTGTGCGTCACCACCAGCCAAAGGCCCCCAAAGGAGTCACAGCCTTGACCTTGGACTGGGGGTGTGGATGGAGAGAGTGGGAGGTGTGAAAAAGCCAAGTGAAACCTTGACAACTCCCTTTAAAGAAAGTACCCTGAAGCTCGGGGGGGGGGGGGGCCGGCAAGGACAAAAGAAAAGAATGCCTCACCTGCAACACTGTGGAGCCTGTGCTTGACATTTGTCATAAAACCCCCAGCCAAGCCTGACACACTCCATACGTCATTCATGGGCTTAAATAAGGATGGCAGGAGAATAGAAGGGACTGCAGGGTGACCCTAAGGGTGACTCGGCCACACAGGATTTGTTCCAGTTCCCCTTCGACCATCTTAGAGCTGGGCAAGCTCTGAGGAACCCATCTAATTGTTAATAAGAGGCTTTATCAGAACTGTGGTTAATCCAAAAATCAGCTATCGAACGGTCAGCTCCTGGGGTGATCAGATGAACGAGTCAGCAAAGCCAAGGTTGACTGAGTCTGACTGACTGACTTGGCCAGAATTGCAGTGTTCAGAAACATCCCCACAGATTTATGGAGCGAGGAGGATGCTGGGTGACAGGTAAAGGTGCTCATTGGGATGCAAACTCAGTAACTGAGCACCAGAGTTCCCACAGAGACTAAAAACATTGAAAAATGTCCACGCCTCGCACAAAGTAAGTCCAAACAATTATAATCCCATGGCAAGTCATGGCCTGTATGCTGTGACTTCATCGGATACAGAGTTACTATCCACTGGAGGGGTTGGGGATGCCTGTGTCTAAAAGTCGCTGAGCATTTGATGGCTGGGAACCTCGAGCCTTGACACCGAGTTGCCGTGTACTGCAGCTGGGACACGACATCTAACTCTTTCATCTGATTTTGTTAAGGTCAACTCCCCCATCCTTTCCCTCTACTTTGTAAGCAATTCTTGGGAAGACGTCAATGTTCCAGAGTGTAACCTGCCAGAGGGCCTCGACTCAAGTAATCTGAAACAAACCCTAACACCACCCAGAACTCAAGAAGCTGAATTCTCAACTTGAAAAATGACCAAAGATTTTTTTTCTTTCCTCTCATGGAGTAGTAGAAAACTCAGTTACTCGGTGGCTGTGTGTAAATATCTTTTTATTATGATTTTAAAATAACATAGCAGAAAGATAAACTCAAGCTAAGACCCTAAATATTCTTTTGAATTTTGTCTGTCAAGTCTGGCTGCAAAGAGATTTTAATTTGTCAGGAGATTAAACAATAATTTGATAGAAGCCAGGTTGGGTAAAATACCCCCAGTGGTCAAGGACTAACTGGAGTGACCCACACATTATTGATATGTAGTAGCAGTCTGCAGATAAAGAAAGGGAGACCACACAGGAAAGTCACTGTGACTTAGGCTGACACCAAACGTCAATGGAAATTATTTGGATTTTAAGTCAAGAGGAGAAAAATAATGATCTAAAATTTAATACACTAATTTGGAGCAAGGGTCAGTGACCACATACCTGATAAAGGAGTTCTACCAATCAGACCTGGGGTCACTGAGTATGACAGACACCAACTGTCTATTGAACGACTCTACAATTCAAGATCACCACGACTGATATCTGAGTACAAATGGGACTTCCAATGTGGAGTGGATTAAAGCATGTTGGGGTGAAACTGCAATTTTCCCCCATCCATGCATAGATTCAGGTGCTCTTTATGGAATGAGAAACACCCAAGGCACATTCAACTCTCTGCTTGGCATGAGGCAATGACTGAGTGAAAGACCCTCTAGAGGCACTGCGTCTCCTATTTTTCTCTGCTACCATGTCAACCCCCAGCAGCCCAAGCATGGCATGGAAAATAAGATGCTCACCATCGGAAAATAAGATGCCCACACCAGATCCTTGACTCCTGAAGAGGCACTAAGTATTTAGACGGGACCGAACAAACTACAGTGGACATTCTAGAGAGGTCATGGGGCTTCTGTGCTCAAAGTCAGCTACATGCTGTTTGACTGAGTGTCTTAGCTATCCAGTATCTTCTTCCCTCTTCTGTGTGAAGTCCTCAGGGGTTATAGGTTCTCACAGATTCAAAAGGATTGAAGAAAGAAGCATTCTAGCTAATTACCTGTCTATCCCCATAGGCATCGACTCAGTTCCATGGACACTACTCAGAAGTGACTTCATGTCTGGCTCCCCCAACTACCTAAGAGTTGGCAGTAACCACATAACTTATCCCTGGTTGAAAAAGTTGTAGATTTTTGCAAAGGAATGGTAAGGTCTTTTCCTCATTGTTTTCCCGAGTGCTATCCAATGCCTCACGTTAGGAGGTATTTTTAAATGGATATTAACTAAACACATTTTTTTTTGACAACTCACATGAAACATTTTCAAACTATGGTTCCATCTTCATTTACTTACTTGACTCAAGGTATTATAATTTCATAATCAGGAACTTCACGTGCTGAAGGGAACCTAAATTTAAGTGTCAATATGGACGCGGGGAGCTCTGGCACTTAATAAAAGAAATCCCACACTAGTTCAGAACTAAGAAATATATAGGTGTTTATTAATAGATAAAACTTACAAATCAGGATTCTCTGCGTGAACGATGGATAAAGATGAGATCCAAACAAACCGAACCTGGAAAACTGGGATCCAGGGGGAAAGGCAGAGAGGAAGAAAGCTGGACGCGCTTCCGCATCCAGGTAAATATCTATGAGGTCACGCCCCAGTAGGCGGGTAGTTGTTAGCTATACACCTTCTGGCAGCACCTCCCGCTTTTGCTTAAATAAGAGAGTTCTAAACCTAATACAAAATTAGATACAATAAGAACAAATATCCTATTTTAACTAGCTTAAGTCTTGTATAATAAATAACTTGTCCAAGTCATGAGAGGAAAGTAGCTACATTTGTCTGGTCTTCAACCCCACTGAAGATCTGAGAAGGGAAATAATGTGACCTGAGAAATTAGGAAGTGCAATTAGACAACTTCCAAAACTTGCAACAAATCACAGAGACAACTGGCTACCTGGGCAATCACCCAAAGTCACGTTTGCAACATTGAAGCAAACAACCTTGGATAAGGCCTAGAATAACTGACAGATTACTTTTAAAGGCAAAAAAAATTTCAAAACTGTCTTACCCTGTCTTGGCAAGATTTGACAGTTCTGCTTACCCATTTCTGGATACTGTGTATTTTGTCAGTAGTTGAGGTATGGGCAGTTCCTTGCCCAAAGGCCGGTTTTGCCAAGAAGAAGACAAGCTCCAAGTGAAGTGTTTTTGGTGCTCAACAATCTCTCAGGAATATATCAGTGTTGCCAGGAGTGATTGTGTCTAGCTACCACAGAACTCTAAGTTAAATTAAATGCCATTTTCTATAGCCATTTGAAGAGGTTGAAGATTATCTATTTATACAGAATATAATCTCTATGTATGTAAAGAACCTGATTAGTCTAACTATAAATATGACAAACATAGATGACTATTGATCTATAATTCCTAATATCTACCTAACTTAAAGACTAAGACAATAAACAACTATGCAATAAATGAGGACAATGACCTCCAAATGTAAACAATGTATAAGTATCTTGATCAGAGGTAGAAATGTACACTGCAATATGATAAATATATGTATAGCAATACATAAACAATATATAAGTATCTTAATCAGAGGTAGAAATGTACACTGCAATATGGTAAATATATATATATCAATACGTAAAAATGTTTTAAACAGAGGTAGAAGCATGCATAAATACAATATTCAATATAATTTAACTTTGTATCCATATACAAGAACCTATACCAATGTAATTGTCTATAAACAATAACTCACAAATACCAATTTCTTATCCCATCATCCAATTTTCCCTTTTTATGGGGGAGCAAGGGAACACGGAGAGCTCTGGCACTTAATAAAAGAAATCCCACACTAGCTCAGAACTAAGAAATATACAGGTATTTATTAATAGATAAAACTTGCAAATCAGGATTCTTTGCGTGAACAGTGGATAAGGATGAGATCCAAATAAACCGAACCAGCAAAACCAGGGTTGGGGGTGCCGGAAGGCAAAGAGGAAGAGAGCCGGACATTCTTTCACATCCAGGTAAAAAGTCTATGAGGTCACACCCCAGTAGGCGGGTAGTTGTTAGCTATACACCTTCCCACAGCATCAACATTGTTTTAGTTATGTGTGGCAGGATTCATAAATGCTTTATTTCTAAATTTGATAATATCTAACATTTCACAGTGGTGATGGGGTGAGAGAGTTAGTAGCACCCTTGTGGTAAGAATGAAGTTCTCTCAGCTGACATTGCTAAGGGAGAAGTAGTATTATGATTCAGATCCAAGTGTTCTATTTTAAATCATGGCTACTAAACATCTTAAGTACAAAAGACGTGACTGTCAGAATAAGGTATTTGACTCAACTCAATCCTCGTTTCTGCGCACACTGTGGATGTTGCTTTTCACTAACCAATCTCCTGTCGATGAGTTTACTCACTGTCTCTACTAATCTTTTGCTATTTCACCTCCTTCCCTTTAGTCTCTTACTTCTTCCCCATCCTTCTCCCTTCTCATCTGCACTTCTCTTTCCACTCAGACCACAGAGAGAAGACTAATGTTCTGTGGGCACATATGTGAGGGGTTGCCTTAAGTTGACCAATGTAGGAAAACCCAGTCCATCGTGGGCAACACCATTCTCTAGGCAGAGGATCCTGAACTGTATAAGAGAGGAGAAAATGAGCCAAGCATAAGCAAGTGTGTAGATATGCGAGTGTTGTTTTCTCTATGCTCTTTACTGTGGATATGATGTGTCTAGCTGTTTTATCTTCCTGGGGCCATGACTTACCCATGTGATAGACAGACTGTAACCTGGGATTGTGAGCTAAAATAGACCCCCATGTTTTGACTGAGTTTTTTGTCCTGCCCAGTTCCTACAATCATTAAGTCCCAAAGAAATCACACAAAAGTCTATATTAATCATAAACTGATTGGCCCATTAGCTCAAGCTTCTAATTAACTCTTATAACTTATATAGCCCACCATTCTTATCTATGCTAGCCACATGGCTCAGTACCTTTTTCGATGAGGCAGTCACATCTTGCTCCTTCAGTGTCTGGACAGGACTGACTCCTCTTCCCAGAATTCTCCTGTTCTCCTTGACCTGACTCTACTTCCTTTCTGGTTGTCCCACCTATACTTCCTGCCTGGCTACTGGCCAATCAGCATTTATTTAAAATATAATTGACAGAATACAGACCATGGTCCCACACCTGTTAGGATTTATTGCAGCAACTGAAATGGAACTAAAACAGAAAGCGAAGTGGTAAGTATTGCCCTACCAGGAAAAGGTGAATACATTCTTCCAAGAGGATTTTTCCCAGGTCACTGGGCTGCTCCCATGCTCCGCAATCTGAAAATGAATTTAGTAGCATCAATATTTTCAAATTGATCTTTAAAGAAAGAAAGAAAGCTGTGGCTCTTGATCCAAATGTGTCTTCCATCAAGTTAACCAGCTTGAGCTGCTTAGGAGAGAAAACTTTTTCTAGCCAGAAGACAGACAATGGGGAAGGGAGATTGCAATGCTTACACCAGAGATTAACGTATAATCCTTTCACTGAATTTCCAAGCTTTACTCTGTCAGCATTAGCCATTGTTAGCTTGTGTGGTCAATGGATCTTGTTCTGCATTTTATAATTTGACAGTAGTTTGTGTTTAGATGGAGTGAACATGTGCTGTGAGACAATGGTCTTGTGCTTTGTAAAGATTTGTCACTTGTACTTTAATAAAATGCTGACTTGTCAGTAGCCAGGCAAGAAGTAGAGGTGGGGCAACAAGGCAGAAAATAGAGGCAGGACAACAAAAACCAAAAAATTCTGGAAAGGAGAAAGCTCAGTCTACAGCCATCACCCACACACAGAGGAAGCAAAATAAAAATGCCTCACTGATAAAGGTACCAACAAAGACTAACACAGACAAAAATTATGGGTTAAGATATAAAACATAAAAGTTTAAAAAAAGCCTAAGTTAATAGGCCAACCAGTTTATAATTAATATAGACCTCTGTGTGTTTCTTTGAGACTAAATGGCTGCAGAACTGGGTGGGACAAAACCTCTGTCAACAAAAATCTAAAAAAAAAAATTGTGCTGTAAGTTTGCTTGACAAAAATGCCCTTTGAAAGAAAGCTTGCGTGAGCCTAATTGGTTTCTTGAGTGAACATCAGAAATCCATCTTAAGTACCTTAGTCTATTTTCTGTTGCTATAACAAAATACCTGAAGCTCCGTGTTATAGTATGGCTTTTTTTTTCTCAAGTATAACATGATCTTCCCATCACCACTTTGAACCCGTGGTCATGGCAATAAAGCAACACAAAGACAGACAGACCTGAAGTGATGATAATGGAACTGTTAACACTCTGTAGTAGAAGGAAATGGGGGGGACACATCATGAGACCCTAACTTAAGATTCCAGCCATTACTCATTTTTTCTTCGCCTCAGCTGCAAAAACTCATGCTAGAGTATATAAGAAGTACAAGATTAACTAAGAGTGTGCAAGATGCAGATTTCCCTGATGCTATCATCCAGGATGAGGTGGGTAAATTTAGGGGTTATCCACACTACAGTAAATAACCTTTCTCCCACAATTAGCTCAATAAGTTCATGGATTCATCAAGTTGAACTTGGGTGGAATCTTTAGTCTGTCGTTGGTGCCCAATCTGAGGTAAACAGGTATTTGTTTAAATCTAGGCAGAATAAGTTAATGCAATACCAGGAAATTTACAAAGTTAAAGGTTTGCTAGTTCACAGAGTTTGGCAGTCCAGCGTGGAGACATGCAGAGGGGTTCTTAACGCATTACAACATGGCTGAAGGCATCACATGGCGAGACATGACAAGCTTACCTTAGAGTTCGCTCCTATAACAACAGCATTCCTCCCTGACAACCCATTAACCCAGGACTGAACTGATCCACTGATAAAGCCAGATCTTCAATAACTCAGTCATCTTCCATAGGTCCTGCTTCTCAACACTGTTGCACGGCAGACTAACTTTCCAACTCATGGAATTCGGGGACACATTCAAACTTGGCCATTGGGAAAGAACTCATTACACAAGTAGTAGGTTAAATGGCCTCTGACCTAAAGAACCAGTAACCTAGTGGAGAGGGTAAGAGAAGAGAGGAAGAGAAATCAGATAGTATAGTGTCAAATAAGGCAGGTCAGAAAAGGACACTGACCCATAATTTAAAATGCCCTTCAGGAGGGAAGCGTTTTTGGAACATAAGGGCCTCAAGGTCATGATTGGGCCTCCAGGTAGAAGGGAGAACATTGGACAGAAAGGGTGCGGTACATGAATATCTAAACATAATAGGACCTTCAGGGGAAGGACAGACTCTCCCTTACAGCCTGGGGAGAGCTTCCTTAGAAGTGAAAATAAGAGAGAGAGACAGTTGCCATGAGAGGAAGGGCTGGGGAAGACCTGCCAAGCTGGTTTTTCAGAGAAGGGCCTTCAGAGTGATCTCCCAAGCCGATCCGTAACATCTTGGATCAGTTCCTGGAACAAAAGAGGAATTCGACTTCTTATAGGGGTGGTGGGACATTCCACATCATGCAATTTAGTTCAACACTGGGTTCATGATAAAGACCATACAGATATGACTAGACCCATAAATCAGGGGCTGTTGTTAGGCATAGACAGCTTCTGTGTGTGTGTGTGTGTGTGTGTGTGTGTGTGTGTGTGTGAGAGAGAGAGAGAGAGAGAGAGAGAGAGAGAGAGAGAGAGAGAGAGAGA